AATTGGAAGTCTTGAAAAGATTAGAAGGGGCCCAAAGTCTTAGTAAGTGGCAGTGACAAACGTTGCTGGAATAAATCAGGTCTGAGATAGGTGGCAGCCCAGACATGGGACTGAAACGAGTGTTCCTGGGCACCTGATGAGGCCAAGTAGCCTGCGGAATGTTACAGATAGCAGAATGAAAAACATATATACAGCTGAGAGAAATTGTCACTGAATGACAGAACAAACCAGCACAGAGAAAGCATCCATGAGATGTTATCGTTAAGGTTGTTCATTTGTCTTTTAGGGAAGTAGTTCCCTGCCTGCCTCTCTACAGGAATTTATGCAGAAGCACCTGAGATTAATTGACCTGGAGACATGAAGCCATAAGCAGTCATGGGGCAAGCTCCATGTTAAAGAAAAATCCTTGATGTGTTTGAGGGAGTAGAGAGGAGGCTTGGGATGCTGCTGCTGTGTTGTGTGAGCAAATTGTGAAATACGGATGAAGTTCACTAAGTGTTTGGGGCAAGAGACTCTGTGACTAGACTGCATGTCTCAGATGCAGTAAGGCAAAGGTTTTGTAGATGTTCCTTGCAGAATTGTAACTGAATGCTTGGAAGTTTGGAGTGATAGGTTATTCTTGTGATTACTTCCTCCTTGTGTGGTAGGTTATTCTTATGATTGCCTCCTCTGTCGAGAAACTACTTGAATCAGGTCTCTTCAGCTGTGGAAAAGCATAAGAAAAGTGATTTAGACAGGGAGGTTTGAATTCAGTTTTCTACTTTATTTATACACCTCCAACTCGGGGAAGGATTAGTATTTCAGGCTGCTTTCCTGAAGAACTCTTTGATCATGAAGTCAGTCTGCCTGCCAGTTCATTCAGGCAACTCAAGGGCCTGGTAGAGCCTCAAGAGCAGAACTCTCATGAGGATGAAATTTTGGGATGTTTTAGGAAAACTGGTGGCTGACTGAAGAAGATGCCCAGGTCCTTTGGCAAGAGGGAGTCCCTTATCCGCTGTGAGGAGTAACTCACAATCCCTATATATTGGCATTTAGTCCCAAAGAGGGTGTGGAAATGACAGAGAGTAAGTATGAGGAGCCACCGTATCCACATTGATTTGGCTTCATGATTCCTGCTCAGGGGGTGTCTTGTTTCTCCTTCAGTTTCCTTTGTTGCCTTTTTTTTGTTTGTTTATATCATCTATCAAGTTTATGTTATGTGCTTGTGCACATAAAATCTTTATTAGCCGTGAGTATTCTCTATTCTCTGTTTTAATTTTCCTTCCTTCTTTCTTTCCTTGTTAATGAACTCCGTTGGCTGCAGATGTTTCCCATTTGACAACACCTGAGACTAAGGTTTTCCATTATAGACTGGAAGAGCTCTGGCTTCTTCCCACTGCGTCTCCTGTGTTCAGGGCAGAGACACCCTCAGAAGAAGCAGGAGCTGAACATCCCTGCCAACAGGTCCCAGGGTCACAAACCTCCTTGAGATCAAAAGCCCAGAAGTTGAAACGGGTTGGGTCATCATGTGGCTTGTAAGCAGGAGTGTCCAGAATCTATATCCCAAAGTGTCTTTGACATGACTGGGACTAGAGGAGGTGGAACAGGGCGAGTGCTGGGACCAAGAAGATCATTTTTATGCATTCCCCAGTTAATCAATGCAGAAGGCCTTCAGTGGTGATCAGGTCTTGGTCATGTTTGCTACCCACCCACTTTGCTAGACTTAGTCTTCATGCTAGTGAGGACATCTGGGAATGTATTTCCTTGGGGGATTGGGTCCTCATGCCTCATCAGAGGACAGGAATTTCGGTGCTTTGTGTGAGTTTTCCCCAGTCAAAATAGCATACTATTATTTTCTACAGAAATTCACCCCTTTGGTGTTAATGATAGGACTGTTTATCAAAACATACCTTGGAAAATAAGAGATGAATCACGCAGACACTGTGTGGGGGTGTGTGTTATGGCTGTGTACCATGAGCCTTCGTTTTGGACAATGGTGCAAAGAAAGCTTCTGCACCAATATGTCTTGAAATCCTTCCCAAAATCCTTCCCTAGAGAGTCTTCTAAGAGATTATTCTGCCTTGCACAGGCACAGTGGATAAATCATCTCCTGGCCCAGGCCTGTTACGCTCCTTTAATCTTAACATACTTTTTTAGAATATCAGCTCTTTGCCCTGCCTGTGTGAGAGTGGCATAACCTCTGATTTGTGTCTCCTTCATACTTGAGAAACTCCATGTATTTTTTCAACTTTTTTCACTAGGCATGGGAGGTTTTTTTTCTGGGAACTACCCTTCATGTATTTGAACCTCAGTGAGTGTCTATAAAAATCTAAACCATCCTGCTATTCCAAGAGTGAGAAATCTTGAAATCTGGATTCTGGAGACTTGACAAAGCTGCATAGCAGATCCTGTAAAAAGCTGCTAATCCTGAGCAGTGTTTGCAGAGCATTTGGATGAAGAGCAAACACAGCAGCAACACATGAATGCGTGAACGCTGCTGGCTGCTAAAGGGTGACTGCTGTGATCTGGAGAAAACTGAGAACAAATGGGGTAGGTGGAAGGATGGTGGGAAGATGGACCTTCTTGGCCAACATCCATGGTTGTCCCACAAGAAGTAAAGCTCCAGGAGAGATTCGCAGCTGGGTTGCAGAGCCCACGGATGGCAGTGAAAAGCTGCTTGATGGTTTCAGCACCCTCAGGGCAAAGTCCTTCCTGGAAGGGTCAGGGGTTTGCAAATCATCCAGGTGCTCCAGGAGAAGGTCCTGCGGCATTCCCAAGAGGAGTGCCGGGTGGGAAGGAGGCACGGCAAATGAATGAAGTGGTCACTTAAAGGAGAGGCCCAGAGGCCAGGCCGTGCACTTTGCACTCACAGGATGGGGAGGGCTGAGAAAGTCCCTTCGTTAGTGCCCGAGCAGCCTTTCCCTCTGCTCGCTGAGCTTTCCTTCCAGGAACTGCATGCGATTCCTCCCTCCTGGAAAGCTGCTCTCCGTGTCAGGCAGCACCGTGGTTTATTACGGTGTTCTTGTCAGCGTTCCTCTAACAACACAGAAGCAGAAGGTGTGTATGTCATGTCTCATTTACTCACACGGTTGTTCAGAAGCGTCTCCTGTATCTGCTGACGTTCTCCAAGCTTGGGCTGCGTCACTGGGAACCCTCCTTAGCATTGCAGCCAAGGGAGCAGTGGAGGGAGGAAGGTCCTGAAGGATGCGTGAGTGAATCCACCACATATCATAAGAGCTAGTTCTAACCTTCCATATAATTAGCGCTTGAAATGAGGAAAAACAAAGGAGCAATTTTCTTATTGATTCTCCGGCAAATAGTTCTGTCTATTTTCCTCTGTATTGTTTCTTCTTATTAAGTAGCCTTGAATAAGAAATGTCAGTCAAATGAATTTAGACTCCGGGTGCTCAGACAGAAATCAAAGCAGGATTGAACGAGGAAAGATAATTAGGGAGAGGGATTCCACCTCCACAGACTTTTTCCTTTGCTCAAGGAGTGCTGATTTTATCTAAATTGCCAAAGCTGTGAGCAAATGAGAGGTGATGGGAATTACAGACTGCAGGCGCTGAGACAAAGTAAAGGAAGCTTTAATTAGTGCGTTTTAAGGTAGAAATGAATTTCCAGGGAATAAATTATTTGACTTGAGACATATGGAGCTTCTTAGAGGTGAGCCGAAAAGCTTTTCACCTGCCAAAAGCAGAGCTCAAGAGGTTATGTCTGCCTTGTAGAAGTGAATGTCATCACTGAGGTCTGAAACCCAAGGGGACAAGGCCTCCTTTCATTTGCATTTCTTTTTTTTTTTTTTTTTTTTTTTTTTTGGACTACGGGGGAATTCCCATCACTGCAGATTTATGGTACAAAAGAAAGCAGGGTTTGCCCCAACACCCACCTGGTCCTAGTGCACGTGTTAGTGATGGGAGCTACTGCTGCAGGGGAGTTGAGGGTTATGCATCAAACCAGCAGGTACTGAAAGGAACTTGCTTTCCTTTCAGAGTCTTTTTATTTATTTATTTACTTATTTACTTATTTATTTTCCATTTCTTTGCTCTGTTGCCCTCCTGTCAACACACTCACACACCTAGAGGGCTATTGGGGGACCTTAAGACACAGAGCTCTCTACTTTTGAGCAGATTTCTACAACTTCTTAGAAAGCAAACCAGAGACAACTCTGTACCATTTATGAGTAGGTAGAGACTCCCGTTTAAATTGGTAGACCTGATGTGGAACTGTTCATCTGGGTACTTTAAGCCTGAACTCCCTGCTTTCGGTGGAATTCTTCATATCCTTGATTATTCGCATGCTCAGTGTGAGGCACTTGCTCCCGGACCACCAGGAGTGGGGTCATGGCCAGGGCTAAGGGTTATATTAAGGGGGTGATTCCTGGCCCCCTGTTGCAAGTGCTGCCCGAATGCAGAATAAAACGTTGCTGCCCTTCCAGGAACGGCACTGTCATCCTCTGCTCTGAAAAGTGTTGCAGCTCTCTGGAGGAACCTCCAAGCAAGCCCTGTGAGAGACTGGTGGCCACCCAGCAGCACCTTCCCAACAGCCATGGAGTCCTTGCCCTGGCGTCTATATGTGACATGAGTGAATGTTGGAGAGTCACTCGCACCTTCTCTATCCACCCCTTTCAATCCTCCAGGAATTCAGCTCTGCTCCTGGCTGAGTGTGTAAGGTTACAAGAGATGGGTAGAGGTGAAGGATCCGATGCACAGGTGCCACCATGTCAACCCTAGGCCTGCTTAAGACCTAGCAACTCCGCCCAGGCTTTCTACCCAAAGGAGCTAAAATGTGACACGAGCTAAACAAAACCCAACAGTCACTCTGGGAAAACAAATATGATCATTGGTTTGTCTAATGTTCTGGTTGCCTATTTGGGGTGTTGCTATGTTGTCCTATAGGTTAATTTGTATTACCCATAATGAATGAATGGAGTCAAGAGGTATTAAACGCTCATGTGTTTATCTTATGGCAAGATAGAAATGTTACGGGAGGAAATGGGCTAATTTTAGATTTGTTCCTAGCCCTCGCCATGCGAATGGTGTCGCTGTGAGCCCAGCAATGAAGTTCACTGTGTTGTAGCAGACTGCGCAGTTCCCGAATGTGTCAACCCAGTCTATGAACCAGAACAGTGTTGTCCTGTCTGCAAAAATGGTAAGAAAGAACTGTATTGGCTTTAACAAAGGGATGTAAGGGAAACATTTTACTGAAATGTCGTTACCCATGAATTGCCAGGAGATTTGCTTCCGTGGGCATGCACTGGCACTGGGGCTGCTCCTTCTCCTTGCGTGTGGGCTTCGGTTGCAAGCTGGCAACTGTGAAAATTAAGGCTGCCCTTCCTGGCTTGGGTCCTCTCATTGGAGTTGATGGGATGACTGACTTGAGTCAGGGTTTTATAGGAGCGGGTCCTGACACTGGTGATGGTCCTTTCATGTCCTTGCTTTGTTCCTGTAAGTAGTCTCTCACAAAATCAGGCATATGATAAAACAGAGACGTCTTTGTCCCTAAATTAAGAAAATGATGGTTATATATGAGGTGCTTAGAGACATGGTTTAGTAGACATGGTGGTGATGAGTTTATGGTTGGACTTGGTGTTCTTAAAGGTCTTGTCCAACCATAATGATTCTATGATTCTCTATGAAGGGTCACTGGAGAACTCTTCAAAAGCAACAGCAAAACCCTCACCGGGGCCAGTAAGAAGCTGGCCAGGCCCATAGCACTGTAAGTTACGTGCTGGAGTCAATGTGTGTAGTGTTGGTTCTCCCTGTCCTGCTGAAACCAGTTCATAGAGTGGAGTCAGATTTAGGAATACCTTGGGAAAATAAATTTATTCTCCAAAAAGTCTCATTGGTTCAAATTGTACTGCAGCCCCAAAGCACATTTTTCTGGAAAAATCACACCTTTCCTTTAAAATAGGCCTGAGGACAAATTAAGACAAATTAAGAGGGGAGCTAGGTTCACATAATTCTCTTCACAGCTTTCTTGGCATATAAGAAACGGCTGCCTAGACTCATCTTCTCATGTTTAGGCTGCCCTATCTATATGTGTGTCCTCTCACATACATCACTGCTGCTGGATAAGAGAGTAATGGTTGCTTCTGGATCCAAAATGAAAATGTTTACAGAGAAATAACATTTTCAACACATTTTCTGCTCTTTAAAACAGCAAAAGCAAACGATTTTAAATCCAAAATGTTTTCATGAAAAGAATTGGCAAATTTCTCAAGTCTGCATAATTACAGCAAAAATGTTACTTGAAATGCAGAGGTTTATTTTAACTCTGTTTTTTAATCAAAAATGCTTCTAAGGTTTTTATGCTTCCATTGAAAAGCAGAAAAATGTTCATAGGACAGCTCATTAGGTGGTTTCTTTTTGGTTGAGCTTCCAAGAGAAGGCATTTGAACCTGCTCTGCGCTCCATCTTTGCATATCACCCTCTGAGCTCCCAACCCTGTCTGCTCCACGCAGGATGCCCCTAGGCGGGAGCTGCAGTGCCAGCCATCCTGGTGTCCCTCACATCAGCGCGGGCTCCTGTGGAGCAGGACGGACACGGCCCGTGTGTGTCCTGTTGCATGTGTGGTGCTTGGTGCAATCCTCGTGCCTTGAGTGTGGCAGGACGGAGGTGAGAAGTGGTGTGGGAGGAGTGTTGTGTGGCTGCGTGGAGAGGGGCAGTGGTCTCCATGTTCTGTGGCCGCCCTGGGGATGAACGGTGACCTCTGGGCAGGGAGCCCCTGGGGCCAGCTGGCCAGTGTGGGACCAGGGCTCGCGATTTTGGCCTTAGCCTTCACAAATAAAACACTTAGTTATGGAAAATGCACCAAAGTGATGGAAAGAGGTAAACGCCAAGATAGGCTGGAGGTGCCGGAGCAGCCTCCGTTGACGCAGGGGACCAGAGGGTGAGTGAGGTTGTCCCTCTTGGGCACAGCTCTGCCGCTAAGCACCCTCCTCGCTGCCTTCTTACGTGCTGGGAACTCCATGCAGGCAAAAGAATATGAGACTTGGCCGTGTCTCCTTCCTCTCAGACACATCCTAATGAAGGAGGAACCCAGTACTTTAACCTGTCTACTCATCTGGAGATCACGATTGAATCTTTCAGTTCTCCACTACAGCCAGTCAATTAAAGATCCATCTCACAAATCATGACGATAACGGAGTCTGGCAGGCCTGCTTCACTGGGTGGACTCTTCTTTTTTCTTATATTTGTCTTTTTTTTTCCTCCTCTTACATTCAGTAACTTTTGCCTTCTGCCAAAGCAGTGCAGACAATTGCAGTGCAAAGTCTTGGTATGATGAAAAGCTTTAGATTAGTCTCGACCCATGTGGTCAGCGTTTTGGACTGGCAGCTAGAAGAGCTCTAGGAATACAACTGTTGAATAAAACAGCATTACTCCTCAGGGCAACATACATCCTCCTTTGAAAAGTCAGAAAATGAGGAAAATGGTGAAGAACGTGGCTGTTTTGGTTGGACACGGGGCCCTGCATCGTTTGTGGTGCTTTGCCAGCAGTGAAGCTTGCCTTCTCGCTTAGTTGTTGCTGCCGTTAAGTGGAGAATAATTTCCTCTCGATGCATTCGGATAGATTTCTGTGCCTCCCTTAATTATGTCTTGCCAAGGGCAAAAGTGCTATGAAGCAGTGAGGTTAATGCAAAAATCTGTTGATTCTAACATACCTGACCCGAAGATTCATAAAAAGCCAATATCAATTCTCATCCTCTACCATCATTTAAGAAGAGTCTGGACAAGTGGCTTTGGAGATTTATTCCTTAGTGTCAACAGAAATGGAATTGTTATCTTGTGCTTTCCTAAACGCAGTGTAGCTTGGGCTCCTCGTTCTGTTCTCATTATGTGGAGAGCAGGCAGAGTTCACTGGGAGGCCAAAATTTGGGGGTAGGGGAGGGAGAGAGGGTTTTTTTTCCCCCCCTTTATGTCCCATGATCTAATTTGTCAAGTAAATTTTAAGGGTGATGGCTCCAGGTGCTGTGCAGCATTTCTGCTTCAGAGATGAAAGGTCACTGGATTTTATGTTTCCTGGTAGTGACAGACCACAAAATTATGGCCCCGAGTTGTTATTCCCAGTCATGGTGACTTCCCCAGACAAAAGTGTGTCAGCTAATGTTAACTCTGTCCTCGAAGTGATCTAAAATGTGCCTGTTATTGTTAAAATCAAGCCGACGACTGCCACGGTCCATGCTGTCCCTCCTGCCCTGCAGGCCTCCGTGCGGCTCTGGGAGAACATCGCTCCGCTCTGCTTCACGCCAAAGCCGGCGCGGGGCAGCCTTGCCCAGCAAAAATGGCCTGAGAGGCCCGTTCCTGCTCCATGTGGGGCTAGACCTGCCCGAATGGTGTTGCCTTGACCTGAGTCTTCTCACGTCACCTTGAGGCCTGCCTGCTGCTGCCATTGCAGGCCTCGAGCCATGGACCTAACGCCAACCAGCATGAGACCTGCGCCGATGGAGACAACGCTTGGCTCTCTCCAGGTTGTGTGTAGTACCACACGCTGGAATACGCCTGTCCCCTTCTTGGAGCCATGTTTTGTGACCCATGTCCCTGCTCGTTGCACCCCAAGGCCTCTCTCAGTGATGACAGGCTCTGCCTCGCTTTCTGAGGGAGCCAGGGCCCAAGTCACAGTATTTCTGGACATGGGGATGTTAAAGGTCTTCTTCACACCCAGCTCTTGAGGGCTCCTTCAACCCTTTGAAGGTTGAGGTCTGGAAAGGATGGAGGGGGCATCCCCAAGTCTTTTAATCAGGTCCAAAATGTTGTCCAGATCGAGTGGGTTCCTCATCTTTGTTGATGTCTACAGATAGTGGAAAACGGTGTGCGCGAGGGGCAAAAACTCACTGCATTTCCCCATGCCCAGAATTACTTTCTTGGAGCCAGCTCCACACTCTGCCTTTCCTGGGAGGGAGCCAAGATGTTCTCCAGTCCTTGGGTGGTCCTTCCTCCCAAGCTACGTTGATGATCTTTGCCCGCTGCTCCGCAGGGCTCAGCTTCACGGAGCTACGTGGCGTTGCGGCGTCTCCTCCAATTTCTCTGCTCCATGGAAGAAGCAGCCAGATGCAATTTCAAATTAAACAAATCTCCGCTGCTTGGGGGAAGGCAGGAGGTGAGGGAAGGCAAGCAAAGGGCAACCCGAGGCTCCCGTGGGCCTCTGCTCTCCCGTTTTACAAAGTGCTCCTTCGGAATTGTTTCCAAAAATAATCTCAACATTAGCAAAAATTCATCATCGCGGGGGATTTTATGGCACAGCTGTGTCAGAGAAATTAATTTTAAAAATCCAATAAATGCCGCAATTGAATTGTTAACTTTTCCCCCTCTCTGAAGTGTGAAATTCTTCTCAGAGCATTTCAAAGGCGCCTTCACCCATTTGCACATACATTAACTCAATTGCTAAAATATTAGACTTTGCCTTGGCATTTTCATTTTCTTGAGGGATGAACCAAATAAGCATTATAAATTTTTGTTCGGGGGTCTGGCATTGCTTTTAATTTAATTTTTGATGCCACCAACCGTCAACAAAAGAATTAGTTACACAACAAGACAGATAAAAGCTTACGTGTCCACGGTGAAATACTTCCTGGCACGTGTGTTACTCACTTTAGCTTGGGCTCCTGGAGACATTCCTGATGAAATACTTGGCAGCAGAAAGATGTTTCATAGATAACCTGTCACTGAGTCTTTAATTAAAGCTTTAAATTACCACGGTTGATACAGATTTCAGAAGAAAGGGTCTGATCCTGCCCACCACAGACAAGTCAACGAAATCCCTTGACCTTCAGCAGATTCCTACCCTGGTAAAATAGGATATTTTCAGGCAGAGTTGCTATGGGCATTTATTCTAATATGCTATAAATATTAATATTTTCATACCAATAGCTTTGTTGTTGAGGGCATGAGCACAAAAGAAAGTAAATAATGATTTATTTCCATGCATATAAAGCCGCATTTTACCTAAGCATTCCCCTTAATTTACTGAGAAAATAAACTTGCTGCTCATTATTTTTTGGTCTGGGTTAATTGGAAATAGGCATGCTGCACCCTGCACTGTGCCTCCTGTAGCAGAGTGTGTTTTGCCGAGAAAATCCCGTAGGATTTCCAAAGTCTGTAGAAGCTGAGGGCAGCCTTTCTGTTAGGAAATAACAAATAAACAAGCTTCAC